CATTTCTGCATCAAAAATAAAATTTGGAAAAAATTGTTGCTTACGTTATTTTGGCGGTTAGGGCTCGATATGTATAACAATATTGGTGTCACACTGAAAAGTTTAATAAGGTTATAGTTTGAAACTATTTTTAACAGGGCTGCCACTTGCTTACAAATTAAATCCAATGTATATGAGAGGTTAAATTAATTTTAACAATATGGATATGCAACATGATATGGTTTGCCACCTGGAAAAAAAATGTAATTCAATTAATTTCAATGAATTACTACACTAAGGGCATCATCCAAAGCGGCTTTGAATTCAAGCGGCTCAATTTTCAATTACATTTAGTAGAATTGCTACCTGTTTAAAAAAGCAACTTAAATCAAAATAACATATGATAAAACAAGTAAGAAAGTCAAAGTTCGGGTGAAGCCGACCATTAAATACCCGGAGCAAGTACTAAATATATGTTTTTTCACCTTTCCGAAAGCTACCGCTAGATGGTAAACCGGGGTGTATCACTTTTGAGTAGCGTCCTTAAATTTCGAAATATTGCAGTTTCAAGCATTTCTGAAATTTACCGTTATATGAAAAAATTTTAGTCCGATTTTAATAATTTTCAACGTTTTGCTTTTATGTGGCAAGCACAATCACCATACCGAGTTTGGTACAAATTGGTAGAACGCTTACCGATATAAATATATGTGATCATAAGTGGGCGGTGCCACGCCCATTTTCCAAAATTTTACCATAAACGTATTTCTTGGCAAAGAATTGTTGCAAGCATCAATTTTGAATAAATTAGCTTTAATATTTACTGATTTATCGAAGATTTTGTATTTCTCTAAATTACCGTTATATGGGATGTGGGCGTGGTTATTGTCCGATTTTAGTATGCTATATCCATTTAGTATGCTATATCATGTGCCAAGTTTGGAAGAAATTGGTGCAGCGGTTACTAAGATATACACATGTTACCATAAGTGGGTGTGGCTACGCCAATTTTCCAAAAATTTGTAATATTCTTATTTTTCGTCTAAAAATTGTTGTAAATATCAATTTTGAGTGAATTATCTTCAGTAGTTACTAAAATAACGCAGTTTTTTTTATTTCTGGAAATTACCGTTATATGGGAAGTGGGCGTGGTTACAGTCCGATTTCGTCCATTTTCAATACCAACCTACCTTGAATCAACAGAAATCTACATACCAAATTTCGTTGAGATATCTCAATTTTTGCTCGAGTTATCGTGTACACGGACGGACGGACAGACGGACGGACAGACAGACATGGCTTAATCGATTTCTCTATTCATTCTGAGCATTTATGTATACATTTGTCTATATCTATATCGATTCGTTTTGCCTGTTACAAACAACCATTATGTGAACAAAGTTATAATACCCTTGTGCACAAGTGCGCTCGGGTATAAAAACACTATACGGAGCAACCATTATGTTAAATTTTATTGAAATAATTTGCACCTTATCTAACATGCAAAAATTTCATACACTTATCGAACTAACTATAGATATAGTAGTTTGTTTTATTTGAGATGTCTTTTAACTTTAATTTTTTAGTGAATCTTTTGTGCCTTCTTAGAATTAATATTAATAAATAATTTGGAAAAGTGTCAACATTGTACAAATATCTCCGATAAAATTAAAAAAATTATCTGAATACAAAATTCCATCAAAATCGTTAGAGTCGTGTCCTAGAAACCTTTGGATTTATATACATACAAATTTACAGCAATTGATTATTTAAAGTAATGATACATATACAGTCAGTCAATAAAGTTTAGGTACAGCGAATCTTTTACAATACGGGCAACTATTTTTTTAATATCTTATTTTTCGATAATTTTTTATAAAAAAATGGTTAATTCTACAACAAAAAACCAATAAACTAGAGTTCCAAACCTTGTGCAAAATTAAAGAAAATTTTGCAAAATTTCATTCAAATGTTGCACTTTTTATTTACGCTCTCTAGAAAAAAGTTGAGTATGCAGTTTTTTAGCCCATTCAATTTTAGTATAACAAAGTGCAAGTTTGAGGTAGCTGGGACTTATCATTGATTTATAGCAATTTTTTGTTGAAGGTGTCGCTCATTTTCTCCATATAAAATAATGTTTGATAAATTTTTTATATTGAAAAAATGTGCGACACCTTCAACGAAAAAATTCCCCAAAAATCAATGGTAAGTCCTAGCTTCCTCATACTTGCACTTTATTATACTAAAATTGAATGGGCTAAAAAACTGTATACTCAGCTTTTTTCTAGAGAGTAAATAAAAAGTGCAATATTCGAATGAAATTTTGCAGAATTTTCTTTAATGTATATGTATGTAGTTATAGTTATATTAACTGTTATTCTTATTTTTACCTTCCTCTTATTAACTCGGGATGTAACTATGTAATATTGACGCGCCTAAAAGATGCAGCGATTTCTATTCTCAAGTTACATACCTGATGACAGTACGAATGACAGTTATAATAGGGAGGTTTTAGTTTTTTAAACTATAATTTTTTCATTTCTGATGAACTTCGATCCCAGCTGTATTATGCGATTATTCATTTCAATTTGAAGTAGTGTTTCAAATGAATTGATTAAAATTATATTAATGTAAACCTATTTAGCGGCCGCTGTGGTATAGTGCTTAGCAGAGCGCGCTACCACTCCCCAGGGCCTGGGTTCAAGCCCTGGTCATCGCAAAAAAATATAGAGAAAAACGCGTTTTCGCCTCTCGGCAGGCAATGGCAAACCTCGGCGTGATTTATGCCATGAAAAACAAAAAACAAAAAAAATAAAAATAAAAAGACAATCGCCGTTCGGAGTCGGCGAAAAACTGTAGGTCCCTCCCCTTTGTGTGACAACATCAAGGCGCACGCCACAAATCCGAGGAGCTCGGCCAAATACTTACATACATACGTATAAGCGCCAACCTATTATTCCACCTATTTAGTTTTCAGCTTTTATTTTGCGGAATTCAGCTTTTTTCTAGCGCGTTCTTAAACAAATCTGGATTTTTTAATCGAAAATAGTAGGCAGCACTGGCCTGCACACTTGTTATCGGCAAATCGTAGAATATGCAGGAACTGATGATTGTCGTTTACTAAAAAATTGTTGGCAAAGTCAATAAATGCAGTAAAATTACATACACAATTAGTATTTCATCTATAAAGTCTATGAAAACTATTAAAAAGTGCATAATTACTTTAGGATTCAATAAAAGTAGTGCTTTAGCTATCAAATATGGCGAAATTGTAAAAAGTCTCCGTGCCTGCACAAAACACATTTCAGGAAAAGAAAAGGAAGATAATTACTGAAAAATTTTGCCTGGCATTATTACAGCATATTTCTATATTGTAGCACTAACGGCATAAAATCGTTCAGACCACTTTCAAAATTACGGGTACATATGTATGTATTAGAGGCTGCATGAATTCATTGAAACTTCTAGCCAAACAGAGTACAGTAGATTTGAATATTTTACTTCACATACAAAACACTCAGCGTTTGGAATTTTGTAAGTTATGAATATACATTTTTGCTTCAAATGGAAGAATGTGAATGAATGAATGGAAAACATTCAAATCATTCAAACTCATTTCGGTAAAAGTTTTTTTCTACAACCAAGTTTTTTCGTGGATATTCATACAAAAAATTGTCATTTATTTCAATTCAATTTATTTGAATATTGTAATGTCGACACAAGTATCAGAACTGCTTTTCACTCAAATTCAAAAAAATTTGAAGCCCAAATCATTCATTCGCTTTGTATATGAATAATTCATAAGCCGTTTTGAATGCATTCATGCAGCCCTCTAGTATGTATGTATATGAATCTGTATAGTACATCAGTATATATGTACATATATCGCTAGCTTAGAGTGAAAAGTTGCTAAGTCCAATTCTTAGGAAAGCTCCCCTGCAAGAACAGTGACTATCATTTGACAAATCATTTGAGTGGCAAGAGTGATAGAGATTTCTGTCACTGGCTACCTACAAGTTTCTATCAAATTCTAAAGGGCAGTGTAAAAAATCTGATGTAAACATTTGTGTACATGTGATCTTCCGTCTTCCTCCGACTTATGGCATTATTTAGTTGTCTCTTTTTAACCAACGCAAAATTTGTAAATGTGTTAGTAAGGTAAATGAGAATGTGTTAGTTTCCATCACACAATTCTTGTAGGGTCATATTTTTATATAGGAACTAAGAGAAATTACAAATGCATCTTTTCGAAAAGGGTTAAGGTACTTATTTTATATTTACTCGTTTATATGCAACGAAAGGCAAATTTGCTAAATCCAAAAGATGCACCGATAATCCGATACGGCCAATATAATAGTGATTTCGTTTCTTCCAAAAAATATTGCCCTTCCCCGGTGCAAAATCCTCAATCCTGTAAAAGGGCATGTTTTTGCCTCTTGTCCTTGTCCAGCTCACGTACTTCATAATATTGTCGTTTTAGGCAACCATCTGATTTTCAGGGCAACCTTCTTCCCTGGCGAAGCTTCAAAGGGCAGAGAATGTGCGTTTTTGCCTTATAAGAGTGTGGCATTTTAAGAAACGAACATAAAATTTTAGCACCGTTTGCGCGAAAAGAGAAAGAGGCAATCAAATGGCGAGACTTTTTGTAAAAACGAAAACACCATAAGAGACATATTTTAATAAAATGAAATCCTTCTCATCGTTATGGAGTTTTTCTTTGCTTTAGACGCGCAAAATGCTGTAATCGAAATTTCTCGAAGTATGTACGTGAAGAGAATGCTTACGTATGAGAAGTTTTTTCCTTTCATGTAAAATTTTAGAAAAATGGACTTACCAACATTTCACTCTACGGCGATATGTATGTACATTCAAATGAATATGTAAATAATGACATACATATGTAAATATTTTAGTGCTTAACTTGCCACAAATATGTATACCTAGTATTTATAACTTTTATTTAGGACCATTCAGAATTTTCGTAGCTCTCACAAAAAAAACTCATTTTTTCTAATTTTCAGTTCGTTTGCATGGGCGGAACACCAAAGCGCATGGAAAACTTTGCACATTTCATAATGTCGGAAATAGGTTATAAATTACCCGCCGGTACAAAGCTGGAAGATATTAGCGCCTATTCATATCGATACTCAATGTACAAAGTAGGTCCGGTGCTTTGCGTTAGTCACGGCATGGGAACACCCTCTGTCAGCATATTGTTGCATGAATTGATAAAACTCATGTACCATTCCAAGTGCCAAGATCCTATATTTATACGTATTGGCACTTGTGGTGGTATCGGAGTTGAGGGGGGTACTGTTATCATCACCGAAGAAGCGCTCGATAGCCATATGCGGAATGCACATGAATTTGTAAGTAAACACTTCAACAAGTGAAATGATTCTCTTTTACTTAGTTCAATTAATTACTATGTTTTTACTCTCATTACCAGACGATCTTGGGTAAAACTGTGCTGCGTCCTGCTAAACTCGATAAGAAACTGGCACGCGAACTGAAGGCACTGGCCAGTGAGGATGATCCGTATGACACGATTATCGGCAAAACTCTATGTACAAATGACTTTTATGAAGGTACTCGTGGGCTGAAAAAGAAGTTGAGAATTTTTAGAATTAAATTAATAAAATATGCTTGTAGGTCAAGGTCGTTTGGATGGTGCTTTCTGTGAATTCACCGAAGCCGAAAAAATGGAATATTTAGAAATGTTAAGCAGCAAAGGTGTTGTCAACATCGAAATGGAGAGTACTATTTTTGCCGCACTTACATATCACGCTGGCATTAAGGCGGCGGTAGTCTGCGTTGCGTTATTAAATCGATTGAACGGCGATCAGGTGAGTTGCAAAAATGTATTTAAATTTTTAATGACAAGTGTATAATGCCTGTCGTTCAATTTCGTAATTACTTACATTATTTAAAAGTGCTTTACGCTAAAACTCCATCGCCAAAAATGCTAAATGAATTTAAGCAGTTTTTAGCGATTTTCGCGATTTTATCTTAAAAAAGTATCTCCAAAAATCTAAATTTTTTGTTAATTTTCTGGCGGATTTTAGCGATGAGTAAACTGTGTGAACTTTTTTTGACAACTCATATAGCCAAAATTGAGCGTATTTTGCATCGCTAAAAATCTCAACTTATCGCTTTAAAAAAGTCTAAAACTGGCGACTGAAAAAAATTGGTGCTAAAAATTTTTAATAAAAAACCAGAGCTAATATTTTTATCGTTGTTCGTTAAAACTATTCCACTATGTATGTAAAGAAACTTTGTTAATAATCGGAAAAATGGAAAACAGTGACGGAAAAAGAGTGATGAGGCCCGAATTGTATACTTGTTCAATATTTTGAAATTTATTGAAAAATAAATATAAATATGCTTTCCACTTTCGTGAGAGAGCTAATGAGTAAAATTTTTTTACAAAATTATTCCTCGTGATATTTTAATACATACTCCGATGTGAATTGTAAATTTTTTTTGTATTCAATTCAAAAAAAGTTGGGAAAAAATTGCAGACTTATGGCCTTATTCATAAAAAATAAAGTAGGTTTAAAGAGCTTTATAAAATGACGTTTTCATACATTTTTCAGTTTATAAACCTTTTTTAAAGCTACTTTATTTTTTATGAATAAGGCCATTAATATGGCCATGAAAAATAAATTTGGCCAAAAAATGCCAAAAGATTTGGAGGTTTAACTATGTATATGGATCTAGGTATTTCATTCTAAGTTGGAATCATATCGCCTCCGGGCAATGACCTTGAAATTGTTGAACAGTGTAATCAATGATTTGACTATGTAAACGGGTTGATTAACGAACGCAATTTGATAGGGATTATATTTATATGTAAACGTAGGTTTAGAAAATACATACTTGTATGCTTCCCTAACTCGAACTTCCTTTTGTCGAACAAACATGTAGACGCGTTCAAAGATCCTGTTTCGTTTATGTGAAAAACTTCCAAGAGCAAAGCTTTTAATCAATAAATTAATACTAGTTAACCCACATGGCGTCAAAACGCCAGCGTTTAATTCAATTCTTTAAACAGGTGAAACCCTATTCAAAAACCTCTAACAATATTCCTAATAATTAATCTAAACCATTTCTCAGTGAGAGAGGTCTCGCATGGTGTCGGTTTTCATTTAATCAAATTTCAAGTCTCCCAGTAACTTAAAAAATAAAACCTCTGCACATCTATGTAGAATCCTAGTTCTTTTATTTGACTTCTCATTTTGGAAATTCGAAATAACGGTGCAGATGTGATGACCTTAAAAAAAAAAAAAAATAGATGGCAACTCTAATTAAAAATATTATCAGCATATAGTTTTCTTAAAACTCTTTCGTTTGACACTAATATTTCGATATTGTATTTATGAATCTTTCGTATAAGTAAATAAAATTCGATTTTTCGGACAGGTGGCAAACTAAAATTTTTCGCCTGGCATTGTTACACATATTTCAATTAACTGATGAATTAAGTTGAATTGAATTTTTTTAAGCACATGGCAACTCTCCTAAATACAGTTTAGAAATAAATTATTTTCAAACCCATTTCGATTGATACCCATGTTTTGACAATCCATTTAACTTATTAAATAATTTGAGCTTAATTTTTTCAAAAAAAAACCAAATGTTCAGCTTAGAGATTTCTTAACGCTCGTTCTTTTGATAACCCTATTTTAAAATTGCATGTAACTTATGTATAATTAAACGACATACCACTTTCAAAACAGGCGGCAACCATCTTAAAAATTATTTTCTAAAAATTCATATAACTGATGAATTAAGTGGAAATTTATTTTTAAACACGTGACAATCCTCCTCAATTTAGTTCTTAAATAAAGGATTTTAAACCCATTTCCATTTATAACCATCGGTTAGTAACTCATTTAACTTATTAAATAATTTTAGTTTAGCCATTTAAACTGGGGCAACCCTCAAACACATCAAAAATGTTCCAAATTTTCAAATTAAGTATTTCTTGAAGCTCTTTCATTTGATATCCATCGTTAATATTTCATATAGGTGGCAACCCTATTCAAAATATTTTTAAACTACTACCTTCTTAAACCTCTTTTGCATGACACCCATATAGCGATACCTTATCCACTTATCAAATTCATTTCGATTGATACCCATATTTAACAATTGATTTAACATTTTAATTAATTTGAGCTTAATTTCTTAACAGGTGGCAACTTTTTTCGAAAAAGTAAAACCTTCTTGAACACCCACATCCTAAGCCCAAACGGTGTGGATCTGATGGCACTGATTATTAAATTATTTGAATGCAATTTTTTATCAGGTCAAAAATAAAATCGAACGAACGGTGCAGATCTTTTAGGCTGCACAATTAGACAATAGATAATTTGGATGTAACTTTTTACACAGGTGGCAACCCTCCTAAAACTCATAAAATATATTCTCAATGTGCAAACTAAGATTTCGTAACACTTTTTTGTTTTATATCGATAATTGAATTAAATTAGACTTCTCGAACAGGTGGAAACCCTATTAAAATTATGTTCAATCTAAAATCTTCTTAAATCTCTTTCGTCTGACACCCATATTGTTATACCTATTTTAATTACCCCATTGCCTTAATTAAAATTGAATTTGATTGTTTAAACAGGTGGCAACCCTCCTACACGCAGTAAAGAAATAAAGTATTTTCAAAACTACTGCGATTGGTACCCAATTAGCAAATATTGATTTAACTATTTAAATAATTTGAACCTAATTTTTAAACAGGTGGCAGCCCTCTTCAAACACTTTAAAAATATTCTAAACGTTCCAACTAAAGATCTCTTAAGATTCATTCGCTTGACATCCATATTTTTATACTTCATATAAATTAGACTTTACACACAGGTGGCAACCCTCTTGAAAATGTTTACAAACTACTACATACTTAACCTTTACCGTCTGGCACAAATACATATTTCTATTACCTAATTCCCCCAATTCAAAGTGAGTTTGATTTTTTTAACAGGTGGCAACCCTCATAAAGTTAAGTAAAGAAACAAACATTTTCAAAACTATTTCCATTTAAGCCCATTTTATAATAATTGGTTTAGCTTTTAAAATAATTTGAACTTAATTTTTTAAATGGTGGCAACTCTTTTCGAAAAATTTAAACCTTATTGCACACCTACAGCCAGAGCCCTTTGATTTGGCACCTCACTTTTGAAAATCGAACGAACGGTGTGGATCTGCTGACATTGATTATTAAATTATTTGAATGCAATTTTTTATCAGGTGGCAATTCCTTTCGAAAAAATAAAGCTTTATTGCACATCTACACGCCAATCGCTTTAATTTTGAACCCCATTTTTGAAAATCGAGTGAACGGTGCAGATCTTTTATGCGGAACAAAAAATGCCTTCGCGTATTATTTTGAACTTAATTTCTTAACAGGTGGCAACTTTTTTCCAAAAATTAAAAACCGTTTTGAACATCCACACTCTAAGCCCTTCAATTTGGTACCTCTATTTTGAAAATCAAACGGACGGTGCGGATCTGAGGGCATTGATTAGCAAATAACTTGAGTTCAATTATTTAACAGGTGGCAACTCTTTTCGAAAATATAAAACCTTATTGCACATCTACAGGCCAAGCGCTTTAATTTGACACCCCAATTTTGAAAATCGAGCGAACGGTGCAGATGTTTTAGGCTGCACAAAAAATGCCTTCGCGTATTATATATAATAGAGAGATGTTAGCATTTGATAAGATTTAAATCACTGAATTGGTTTGCAATATTGAAAGAAATATATTTAAAAACTTTAGCATATTAAGAAAAAAGTTACTTTGACCAAAATTCACACATATAAAGTCGAGCTTCGAGCTCTTGTTGTGTCAAAAAGTTGCCGAATTCACTTAATCGACTAACTTTCGACGTTTTCAACTAACCGCTTAGAAACAACTGTTCGAATAACCGCCCATTTTCAATTTTTCGTCTAGTGGATTTCTTTCAATAAACAGTGGTTATTGGCAAAACCCAATCGTGATAATAACAATCATTTTGTATTGAACAACTGTCCCTACTCGAATAATTTCGGTTTGTCGATTTTCAGATTATATACTCAATGGTGTGCGGTTACTCGAAAATGAATGGTTAGGCGAATTCAAGCGATTAATTGAATATCTGCTAGGCGACTATGGAGCTGACGGCCTGCCAGCCGAGCTATTCAAGTACGGCGGCGAGGAGCTGATGAGGTGCATGCATCAGCTCGTATGCAGAATATGGTCAGATGAACGCATGCCCGACGACTGGAATTTAAGTGTGCTCTGCCCAATCCACAAGAAAAACGACCCCGCCATACGCGCCAACTACCGCGGAATTAGCCTTCTAAGCATAGGTTACAAGGTCTTATCGAGCGTATTGTGCGAAAGACTGAAGCCCACCGTCAACGAGCTGATTGGACCTTATCAGTGTGGCTTTAGGCCTGGAAAATCCACCATAGATCAGGTATTCACAATACGCCAAATCTTGGAAAAGACCCGCGAGAATAGGATCGACACACACCATCTATTTGTCGATTTCAAAGCCGCTTTCGACAGCACGAAGAGAAGTTGCCTTTATGCCGCGATGTCTGAATTTGGTATCCCCGCGAAACTAATACGGCTGTGTAAAATGACGTTGAGCAATACCACCAGCTCCGTCAGAATAGGGAAGGACCTCTCCGAGCCGTTTGATACCAAACGAGGTTTCAGACAAGGGGACTCCCTTTCGTGTGATTTCTTTAATCTTATGTTGGAGAAGATAATAAGAGCCGCAGAACTGAACCGCTCAGGCACAATACTTTATAAGAGCGTACAATTGCTGGCGTATGCCGACGACATCGATATTATCGGTAAAAACAAGGGCTACGTCTGTTCTGCCTTCTCGGGATTGGATAGAGAAGCAAAGCGAATGGGTCTGGTGGTGAACGAGGACAAAACGAAGTATCTCCTGTCAGCACACAAACAGTCAGAGCATACGCGTCTTGGCACCCACGTCACTGTTGACAGTTACAAGTTTGAAAAAGTAGACGACTTCGTTTATTTGGGAACCAGCATTAACACCAATAATAATGTCAGCCTTGAAATCCAACGGAGAATCACTCTTGCCAACAAGTGCTACTTTGGGCTGAGTAGGCAATTGAGAAGTAAAGTCCTCTCTCGTCGTACAAAGATCACACTCTATAAGTCACTCATCATGCCTGTGCTGGTGTATGGCGCGGAAGCATGGACAATGAAAGCATCTGATGAGGCGGCTCTTGGAGTTTTCGAGAGAAAGATTCTGCGAATGATTTACGGACCTTTACGCGTTGGTGATGGCGAATATCGCAGACGATTTAACGATGAGCTGTATGAGCTTTACAACGATATAGACATAGTGCAGCGAATTAAAATTCAGCGGCTCCGCTGGCTTGGCCATGTCGTTCGGATGGACAGAAACGCTCCTGCTCTGAAAATATTCAACGCGGGCCGCGATGCTGGTAACAGAGGAAGAGGAAGGCCTCCTCTGCGTTGGAAAGACCAGGTGGAGAAGGACTTGGCTTCACTTGGCATTTTCAATTGGCGTCAGTTAGCACAGAAGAGAAATGACTGGCGTGCTGTTTTGGACTCGGCCAAAATCGCTTAGGCGGTTACAGCGCCAAATAAGAAGAAGAAGAAGCTAGGCGACTATGTACCGACAAAAAAGTTGCTAAACGAATAAACGAAGAGATGGAGAAGCGATTTTAACCAGAGCTTTAATAGAAGGTTGATGTGAGAGATTCCACTTAAGATGTCCACTTCCTCCTTCCTTTTCTTAACCTTAAAAATAAAATTTTTTCCCATATATTACACTGTACACTATCGACTTTTAAAACACTGTTCGCCATGATAAAAACATAGTAAGGTAAAACCATTCTCTCAATTCGTCGGCCATGATTTTTTTTTTAAGTTTGTTAACATTTTAACATCATATAAAATTGAGAGTAAAACAAGGAATTGTTCAAAGCTGTTGTTGTTTGAGATTGAAAATGAGAATGTGTGTGTGAGCTTGTGTCTAAAATTTTAAAATTAAAATGCTTGCAAACGTCAAGAATATGAAAAATTCCTCTCAGCGGTTCTACCTTCTTATGTTATTATCATGCTTTTCACTTTTGTGAAAAAAAAAACATTAAAAGAACTGCGGTAAGAAGATTGATATAATTCTCAAAACCACTGCTCTTTCAACTTCAAAAGCTCTTATTTACAGAGGAAAAGAAAGTGTTAAACATACACATAAAATTGGGGCACGTCCATTATAGGTATCATAGATGAACTCTCCATGCCTGGAAAATAAGTACCGAAGATATCATTTTCTATGCAGCTGTCCAGCGTTGAAGTTCGTTATTGGACCAGATATTTGTAAAACGAATAAGTAACACTATCTTTCCCACGACAAATCGATCGATTAATAAGAGTCTGAAAAGTTTGTGGAGTAGATTTGACTCTTCGTTTTCCCTATCATTTTATATTTCCTCTAGGCTTTAAGTACAATTAGGGTTGCCAACATTCAAAAAAATCTGAAAAAATATAGTACACTTTATATACATATAGTATTTTATTTAAAATAAATAGTAAAAAAGCTTTCTAAGTGTACATCTTTTATCTTTCTTATGCATTTCTCTTATCAAAAATATATTTCTTTGCACTTTTCGCAGTTTTTAACAAATCACTGTTAACTATGAAGAAGTAGTAATATAAATCAAAATTAAATTTGTTATTAGTAAGGTAATCGCTTTGTATCTCTAAGCTCGCCATTTAACACTCATAATAGAAAAAACTCTTTCTGTGAACGCCGAAGTTGCTGGAATAGAAGTAGAAAAGAAATAATTTTAAATAAATATCGGTATCATTTTTTTTACATGACAGGAATATTTAATTTAGTAATTTAATTTTAGTGTAAAGGTCAACCAATTCAATACAAAGTTTGTCTTGCAAATTACTGAAATATATTTACAACTGAAGAAATATAATCTTTTTTCTTCATCTTCATCTTCATCTTCATATTGCAAATCTACAGGTCGAGCCCTTTCATTTGACAACTCATCGCTTAAAATCGAACGAACGATACAGATTTTATGACTTGGTGTTAAATATTTAACGCCACCCTCTGCGGCAGAGAAATTTCGAATTCGATTTTCTAACATGTGGCAACTCCTTTCATGGAATTAAAGCTATGCTGCACACCGGGAGGGTGAGGCCTTTCATGTGAAACCTCACTTTTAAAAATCCAACGAACGGTACAGATTTTAGGATTTGGTGTTACTGGCCGTCTCCACAGGATAAAATTTATTGCTGCCCAGCTGTCATTTTGGTCGCTAGATATAAGTTATATCAGTGGTAATATTTGTGTGGGCTTTTTATATCTTGATATAAGCATTTGTAAGATAGCTTTGTAAATGTAAATGAAACCGGATTTAATCGCTTGAAAAATTTAGAAAATACGCTATTTTACATCCAAGTACATAATTACAAATATTTTAACAGGAAACAGCTCAATTTTTGCTTTTATATTAAAATAATAATGATGTTGCAGCCACGAAGTTTTCGTGCAAATGAAAATGTAGCTGCCAAACTACAAATTGCCGGCAATAGATGGCAAGATATAAGCTATGATATATATTGCTCTTGAAGAGCAATGAGCGGTCTCCATTGACTATTTATATTCTAACATAATATGTATCAAGATATAAACTTTATCTTGTAGAGACGGGCAGTTAGATATTTAACGCAACCATCTCCGAACTCGTGTAAGAAGTTTCACTTCAATAAGGCTTTAAATTGTTTCCTCTCTTGAAACCAGTATGGAATGAACTGATATTTTTCCTGTTCTTGCAACAAGGAATCCTTATCGATGGCCCCAAAAGCCAAAAAATGCATTTAAAATTTCCCGTTCTTGAGATTTTAATTTGGTCCCTTTTTCCCGTAATAGAACACAGGGTGTGCCAGAACAATGCTTGCCAGTTGAAAAATTTTGTTTCTGTATTTCACACGAAAAGTAATAATAATACATACATATATATGTCTATTCCTTTCAGGTCAACGCGCCCAAAGAAGTAATGCATGAATGGCAAAATCGACCGCAAACACTTATTTCACGTTATATCTGCAAAACGTTAGCGCAGAAGGGGCAGCTGAAATCGCTTTCTCGAGGATCAATTAAATCACCTCGGCGTTTTAAGCTGGTACAACAGGAGTCACAGGCGCATGAATAAGCTCACATAATCATTTATGTATATGTATCTATTAAGACGAAAAGCATTCGTTGCCAGATTGGCAACTTATGTACAGAATGTCTTTAAATCAAATGCATAATTTAGCATAATTATATAAAAAGTTGCATACTCCTTCATACATACATACGCACATAAAAAAAATGAATAAGTCATCAAAATTAAGAAGGTAAAATAATTGTTAGAACTACTCCATACAAAACATTCCAGAAAAGCGTTAAAAGACAAAAACTTCGCCAATGTTCAATAAAATATAAACATTTTTTGTAAAAATAAAATTTGGCAAAAAGTGAAAAGTTAATGTTAAAAAATCACATTGCTGAAAAGTTGAATACGCCGCTTTCTCCAAGCACGCATTGTAGGTCGAAACGCTTATTTATTTAAAACCAGCTTTAATACATTTTTAATAATTATTATTGTTTTTAATTAACTAGTTTTATTTAAAAGCAACGAAGAAAACATTTTACAAAAGAGATGCATCAACAAGTAATTTCATTATTTTAAGTGGGTACACGATGCATTTGGATACATACATTTGTACATACATATATATGAATTATGAATTTATGTATGGCTTTATGATGAATAAGTATCATATACCCTGCAGGAAAATCTAATGATTCCGAATTCATGCGATTTTGGTAGTACATTCACCCAAAATAAAAATGTTAAAGTTATGTTACTGTTTTATGCTTAATTCAAATTAAAAAAAAAACTATAAATCAAAGAAAGAAGCAAAAAATTTTGGCTCGAAGGTAGAGAAAAAATAGAACCAGGTTTTCGCAGAAAAATAATCGCATTTCAGCATAAACAGCACACTAGCTTTGTGAACACTCTATTTGCAATATTTTTATCTTTTGAAAGAAGTTTGAAAATTTAAATTAATTAACATAAGACAACGTTTGAAAATAATTTGACTGATGTAGACCGTGGTCGGTTGTTTTCAATATGTTTTAAGCATAAACTTATACATAAACAAACTAAACCAGCTGTTTTCATTTGTATCATGAGCAAAAAATTTAATAGCAGTGAAGTTTTTGAAAGAAAATAAACACCGAAAACAAAATTAAAGAAATTAAACTTTAATTCGAATGTAATAAAAACTGCAACAAGTAATTTGCGAACAAAAGTATTTTGAATCAGTTAATATTTTATTTTGCAATATTAAAACAAACTCATGATATCTTAGATTAAAAACAAAAACGGTAGCGCTGTACAAACGCTGCTTTGAGCGCAGCAAACTAATCTCCAAATCGGTTTGAATGTGAGAGGTGTTTATACACTACACCCAGAAAAAGTCAGTTAAAAATATTTCTCTTAGCACTTACGACTATAACCACGTCGTAAAGCATTTTTGAAAAAATATTACAATTGTAATCCAGACTTGCGATAGGTCGTTCACACAATTTTGTTCACAACGTTACCATTTCGCCAAAAATTCGTCTTTGGACGTTTTATGAATTGCACACTATATCTAAGTGTTCGTAGATATCAACTACCGATTGACAGTTAAAAAAAAATCTGGTAAAGCAAATTGAATTTCAGTTCGTACATTTGTTTTGAGTCGTGCTGAATTGAATAAAAGCGCCTCGTTTATGCGTATACGCGTGTGATAACTCCATTTTTTATATTTTGGGTTTTATTCAACAATCAGTGTTTTATTGATTTAACCTCCCGTTACTAACATGACTTTTACAACACGGTTACTAACATTGGTCTTTCAGGCCGAAGTGCAGTGAATGTTTATTTCCTCACATTACAGCGTGGCGACGAATAACTGTTACCCCGGTTTTTTTGAGAAATAAAAGGGTCCTTTATAGATTTTGCGAAAAAAGTATTTTATTGTTAAATTTCCACAGATTTTACTTTAGCTGTATTAATTAGTTATTAAATCTTAATCCCTGTTTACTTTTGCCAGCAGTTTAAACTTTGCGAGACAAAGTTCATTTGGCACGCAAGTCTTTTACAGGTGTATTTTTTCTTAGGCTTTAGCATCAACAAGATCATTGATGAACCGAAAGTTATATGTACAAAGAAAAGAAGTTCAAAAAGTTCCACTCTGTTGTACAGAAAGCTTTAAGAATGTGTTCGGTCTGTGAGACAGCATGTTAGTAACGGAAGGTTAATGAAAGTAGAAAATAATTACGAATAGAAATGATTTCTGTTATAACAGACTCACCGAAGTTTTAAATATTTCATTGAAAATGCAAGTGCGCTTACGTAAAAAGTGAAATGGAGTTATCATTTGTGTGCTATATATACCTGACACCACATATATGTATGTACATAAATTAAGCTAAATTGTACGACTCGATAACATCCGCATTGTCGACTGTCGTGCTGAAATAAGTAAACGACGAAAATCGTCGAAAACTTTCCAGTGCTGCCAAGTTTTTCCGTTTTAATACACTAGTCGAGTGGAAGTTTTAGGCAATTACGGTAAATTTCCGATACGTTTGGACTCTCGAAAAATGACTTGCATTCAACACGGCTCTCGCAATGAGGCTGATTATATCTGAGGCTACAAGGAATTACAGCTAAAGTTGACTTTAGCCCAAAATTTTTGAAAAATGTATGTGAATTATGCATTAAAGTACAGTTGGCCTCCCAATTTAAACTGTTATTTCTTATTGGCATGGATGTACCCTGTATATACATATACTATATATAGTAGTAGTGTAAACAGTTTATATGAATATTAGATGATTAAGACCACAGCATTTATGACGTTATTTTAATGAAATATACATGCATACATATAACTAATATTAAATAGAAAAATTGTATTGTTTATTGTCAAAAGACATTCCCAAAGAAGAAACCGTTGTTAAGCTGAATTTTTGTAAGCGTGTAAAATTTTGCTAAATAAATGGCATATTTACGCACATACATATCGTGGCCTGGGTAAAAGATTGTCGTATGTTAATTTCGGCAGGTTGTGGGAAATCGCTATTGAAGTTTGGAATGCAATTTCTCAAAAACGAGAAGATAGATTTTCTCCAAAGTCTCTGAAAATGTTACTAGCTCACAAAATTCTTAAATTATTTAATTCTTAATGTTTATTTTTAATTAGTTTTGAGTTTATGAAGTATTTTCTATAGTAAAATTTTGTCGTAAGCGTCATTTGTCCATAATATGGTAGCTACTTTTTATGGAATACGACAAAATGTGATCAAAACTCCTACCAAATTAACGACACTTTTTACTTAATATTTCGGACACTGAAGGAGATATCCAAAAATGGAGAACGCAATTTTTAAGATATTGACTAGTTCAATATGACTGTATCACCAACTAAATTTTTTCTCAATTATCGAAAAAGTTGTAGTCAATATCTCGGACACTAAACTGATAACACCAATCGACAGACCTTATTTCAAAATATATAACTGCATCTAGAACTAAAAATCGTCAAAATGGCGCTTACGACAATCTTTTACCCAGGCGACGATATGTGCGTAGTTTTAAAATATGCAGTTACATACATTTATTGTATGATGAAAACTTATATAAATATATTAATCGAATTGTACAACTCAGAGGGCAAAAAATTAATAATACCACAAAAAAACATAAAAAATTGCATACGAGGTTAAGTTTTCAAATATATTGTACTTATCGCTTTTTAAACTCACACTTTATTCCCCCTATTTGTATGTAGTGTGTGTAAAGTTAATTATATTCTATTTGTTAGTTGTAATATTTAATTGTGTATTTAAACGTTCGTTACTAATCTTATTAAATCAAAACTCTCTCATCCAAGTTATTATATTCGTATGTCTAGTTGGTCAATACATACATCCTATTGGCCGCATATACATATGTATATTAAATACATGCGGTACTTACTAATGTATGTATAATAAAACACTTCTTATGTAATAATATATGATATCAAGAACGAAAAATAAAACCGAAGCTCCATATCTGGATACACCAAAAACAACAAAATATGTGTTTGCTTTAATACAAGTATATGATATTAATTAATTTTGAATGTACATATGTAGAAATTTATCTACATATGGAGGATGGTTACGGGTGCACACAAAAGTGCCCAAAAGGAGTGCCCAAAAGCGAATTCCGCCCCTCTTTTCCGGCAACACAGAGAGGAGACTACTACTTAGTAAAGAGAGAAAGTTCTTCGCAAAAATACTTCCGCCACACAGAAGGAGAATTTTACTTAGTGAGGTTCGTAATCTCTAAGCGCGGCCAAAGGCCGCCTACGCAGAACCAAGTTCTGCGCAAAAATACTTCCGCCCCTCTTTTCCGACAACACAGAAAAGAGAATTCTACTTGGTATGGATTATAATCCCTAAGCGCGGCCGAAGGCTACCTACGCAGAAAGAAGTTCTGCGCAAATATACTTCCGCCCCTCTTTTCCGGCAACATAGAAAGGAGAATTCTACTTAGTAAGGGTTATAATCCGTATGCGCTGCAGAAGGCCGCCTACGCAGAAAGAAGTTCTGCGCAAAAATACTTCCGCCCCTCTTTTCCGGCAACACAAAAGGAGAATCCTACTTAGTAAGGGTTATAATCCGTATGCGTGGCAGAAGGCCGCCTACGCAGAAAGAAGTTTTGTGCAAAAATACTTCCGCCCCTCTTTTCCGGCAACACAGAAAAGAGAATTCTACTTGGTATGGATTATAATCCCTTAGCGCGGCCTACGCAGAAATAAGTTCTGCGTAAAAATACTTGATGGCATTTCCGAACTTTGCGTTGATGGAGTTAATCAATTTGGGCACTGAATGGCTCATTTATAAACTCATATGTAGCTTAGAAAACAATGCTATAAATTTTGTGATGACACGAAGGCAACATTGATTTTTAGTTTAAGTTGACATAAAAAGGACTTTATGACTTGAAATTGTAATTTTTTTTTTCAGTCAATATAATAAAGACTCTTAACAGCCGTAAAGTTAATATCGAATTGTGTGTTTCTTTGGAGGTATTTCTAAATTAAGATTTTTTTGGGGTCGAAAAGAACTTTTTGCTTTGAAATCTTATTTTGAATATCTTTTTGGAACAAATTCAGATTCTAAAAGGACTTTATCTGGCCACGCTGTTGACAATTAACATTTCGAGAAAGTAGCGAATTCCGACGATGTACAGTGGGGTAATTGATGTCGATATTGGAGATTAATTCAAAAAATGAATTTCAAAGTACAAAAAAGTTTGTAGTACCAAATGATAGAAGATGAAATTCTACATCAGTATATAATAAAATATTTGGCCAAAAATTTACCGTTTTCTTGTAATATACTCTTAAAATCGTCGCTTTTTCCTTTTTAAGTGCGCAAAGTGATAAAAGGGAACGGATTTTTAGGGCCTAAAAACTTATAAAAAAGGCAAAATAAAATAACGAAATTGGCTGGAAAAGGCAAAATAAAATAGCGAAAAAAGCAGGAAAAGGCACTAGGTATTGCAAAAAATGCAAAAAAAGGCAAAACAAAATATCGAAAAGGCAGGAAAAGGCACTAGGTATTGCAAAATAAGCAAAATAAGGCACAAAAAAAATACAGAAAATACGAAGAACAATCTAAAAATACATTTATTTTAGAAATGTTTATATTACAAGTAAAAAGAGAATAACTATAAACTAGTTTCATTATATGAAAAATTTGTACTTTGAATCTTTGACTATTTTATCCTTTCTAGTTTTTAACTCATAAAACTTTAATCTGTATAGTTGTAGTAACATTGAAGCACAAGATGTATTTTGAAGTTTTCTGGCAGCATTTTCATTAGATTATCGCGAAGAAAAGCCTTGAATATACTAAATGTGCGCTCGACGTAAGTTGATACAAGTTGAGCCCAATTTAAATATGGAACGTTTGAAACGTTCATATTATCAGGAATAAGGGCATTTTCCTCGCCCTTTACAATTGTATCCACACCCCTTATTGTCTCCAAGCCTACGTTACCTGAGAAAACGGCTTTGAATTTTTCCAACACCAATTTGGCAAGAGATCCCTGCGCTTCTATAAACCGCATGGGCATGTGAATATTTTTTAATCTTTAAAAAAAATTGTGAATGCTATAATCCCTTTTTTAAAGGTAAAAAAGGCAAAAAAAGGCAACAT